TATACCGCCTTTCACAAACCAGTGTTACAAAGCGCTACAATTGTGGGCATTTGTCTCTCACTCCACACAGAGATGGAGCAGGTCGCCATACAGGAGGCGCATGCCAGACCTAATGTACATGTTTTTAGTGGTAGTGGAAACCGGAGAACACGGAGGAAACCTATGCAGTCCAGGAGAGAACATGCAAACTCCATTCAGAAAGGCTCTCTTCCAACCGGGATTTGAACCCAGGACCGCTTGGACTGTTTTCGATTCCTCCATGCTTTGAAATCACATGCATGCTGTAAAATCCTTGTTTGTGTCTTGTCTTTACCATCGACAATAAAACATGTCTTTGTCTGCGACTTGATCCCAGACCGATCCCAGACCGATCTGCATTTTGTCTCATTTTCGATAGTTTTGAGTCGACCAAAACTTTGAGATGATTGGATGCATGGGCAAAAGGAGAAGGTTGAGAGGAACATTTTCCAGATAAAGTTTATTTCACGTTTACATTAATAGCAACATTTTTTATCTGTGCTTTAGTTTTGCATGGGGTTGAAATCTTTTAAACATGTCAGATATAATAGTAATAGTTTGGAGACATACTTTGACGGTCCCCTTTTTTGGCGATCAATCGATTGGCCGGGGAATGTCTCTAGTCGACCAATAATTTCTTTGGAGGAACAACTCGATAGTGAAAATGAAAGTGCTTGGTGACTGTACCTGCGATTACAACATGGTGCTTTGTTGTGTCCTTTTTCTAATACACAATGCCCAATAGAAACCCTGTCTCACTATATTTTGTTGTGAGAAGAATGTGGACCTGAACCCCCTCTTTAAACTGTGAAATCCTTTTGAATTTAGTGAGGGTTTTTTTTCATTTGAGCTATACAGGAGTGTCTTTTTTCATATTGGTGTTTGATACAATAGATACTGAACATTGGGAGCATGGAAAGCCAATTCACGGCCTAAAAACCAAAATAAAATATCTGTTGGCCGTGATTTCTTTCATCCTATCTCTGTTCCAGTGCGGGTTTGCTCTGGTTTTCCTTTACTTGAAACTGAAAATGTGAATTAAGCAATACTTGTGAAACTGATGAAACGAGATCGCAATCGTAGGGACTTTTTTATGTAAAAAACTGTCTTTTTCAACAAAAAAAATGTTACTTTATCTGATGAACCCTTGCAGTTAACTCTACTTTTGCGGTTGCAAAATGCGTTATGTCTGTGTGTGTGAATCCCTATCACCAGCACCATTAAAGAAATTGCATTTTTGTGTGCTGAGGAAGTGAAGTGGGCGTGGCCTGTCACATGTCACAGATAATCGTAGAACCTTATCCATATCCTCAGCTGTCTAAAACACCTACTTTTTTTTTCTATTTTGGGAAGTTCCATGTTAAGCTCCATAATTAAATGGATCAATGCTATTTTCTGTTTTGAATGTGATTCGAGATTTGATTATTGTAGGCCCTGGTCTAATACAGGGTGCATCGAGAGGAAATGAGCTGTCCACAAAGACGCTCTTGTCCTCTGTAACCCAGCGGAGTCTAAATCTGGCCTCAGTGAAACCAGCCACCCCATTCTATTAGATTACACATCCACAGGGCAGATGAGACTGTAGGTGATGTATTACGGAGGGTAATTGGAAAATTTCTCATGAACTCAGAAGTTCTTTGACCCAGAAAAGAAATGGCGGAGGGGTCTTCTAACGCACCGCTATTCAGGCCTGATTTGTGTTAGAGCATTGTCATGGGAAGAGAGCTTTGAACCCCCACCACACCCTGGTTCAAAAAGAGGTCGGGCGTGCTAATCACCAAACGTAAAACACAAATGGATATTAAAAACTTAATTAATTATTAAGAACTGCCAGAATTCGGTAAACGCTAGAACTCCCAGAGCTGTCAATTTGACTGCTTCCAATTAAACCTGAGAAATCCCCTGTCAAATTGTTTAGTTTTTCACTATATTCATTAAAGGAAAGTAATTTGTATGATTTTTATTACCTTTACTTACTTTAACATGTGCTGAAATTGGTTAATATACATGACATATAGAAAAACTAAATGCTAACTGCAGCAAGTAAACAGTTTTTTTTTTTTCAGGCCTTCAGGCCTTTCATGGTCTTGATTCATAATTGGGTATATAGAAAGCCACACTATCGAGATCGGTATCAGACATTCTTTTGTTTACTGTGATAAATGGATGAGCAGGCAAAGGTTAACGAATACAAAAGATCTGCTTGTTCTTGCTGCTGTGTCGGCACTTTATTTTTATGACATTTATGTTGAAGAAGCATGAAGGGTCAATACAGTGATTTATTTATACAGAAGTCAAAAGTCAAAGTTAACTGCCTTTTAGATCATTGTTCAATTCAATTTACCTACATTATATTCCGTGCTCAAGGTCCAACATGACTTAGAATAGCCAGTATCTAAGTGTCAAATTTGTCAGATATGTTTGAAGATTTTAACTATGGTAGAACAAAGAACTATACTATACTGTATGTAGTCGTTTGAGAAATGCAGTAGTATGGCATATACAAAATAACATCAGTAGGATCCAACCCTTTTTCTCTATTTCTGTAATGTGGTGGAGCAAATGTAATTGCGTCCCAGTGGGAGCATACATCATCAGAGCCATTAGTGTCATTGATGAGGCTTGTAGCTCGTTCCATCAGCGGACTGGTCCGGCCATCACTCACATCTCTCTCTATGACAGTCAGGGCAGATGCTGATCACTCATCATTTGAGACGTGCACAAAATAATGTGAATATCATATTTAATGCTTCACTCTATGGCCCCAAAGCTTTTTGTTTTTTAATGCGGCTGTGTGCTCTGTGGGAGGAGCTGCATCCCTGCACAACAGATCAATATATCTACCCGTGTTAGAAAGCCTGCGCTCTCTAGTGCAGGGGAAAGCTTTTTACACGGCTCTCCGGGACGATGCAGATGATGTCTCTGGCTCTGGGACGTGGGGACTGGGGAGTGCTCTGAACAATAGTATTAGTGAGACTGACCGGGGGAGTCCCTGTCCCTATGGGCCCATAGCCCTGGTCATCTCACTGATATCCAGGACACAGGCAGACCCTACAGGCATGGAAGTGACCTCATTTTCTGTGACTGGACTTCTGCACTCCGCTCTGCACAACATCCACACACTAACTTTTCAACGAATCAGACGACATTGCATCCCTGAATTATTATTTTGTTTACTGTAAAATAGTTTAATACTATGGTATTTTAGTTTTGTTCAAATGATAAAAGAAAATTAGCCATTCATTTGATGGTCATCCACAAGAAAAAAAAAAAAACATACACATTTTTGTGTCCACTTTTACTTTGTTTCAAAACTTTGTTTTAAATTTGTCAAAGAAGCTCCAGAGTCTGTGATTTTGCAAAGGGATGTGTTTCCTTTCAAAACAGGAAGGTAGAAGAGGTCATGTCCTAAAACTGGTCAACTCAATGGTCACATTTGAAGACCTCGGCTGTCGGGGTGTCATCAATTGTTGTCTGTCTTTGAGTAATTAGCAAATTATCTGGAAGAAAATGATAATGAGCTTTAGGGCTATAGTCGACCAAAGCAATTCTCCTTTAACTGAAGACAGGCCCAGTCCATTGATTAGTCAACTAAACAGGGGGTGTGGCAAAACGTATCAAAACATATTGTATATCAGAACTAAACTGTATTAAACTAAACTGAATTGAGGCTAGAAATCACATATAACAAATTTCTATATCAAGGAAATATGTGAATTTAGAGTTAGATCTGACTTGACTATGAGTAGAAACCAGAATCTTCAACTAATTTTCGACATGGCTTAGGTTTTTTCACTGTTTTTCTAAAGAACTCTTTGTAATTTAAAGAAGAAATATTACTTATGGCCATTAAAATGATATTGCGACTATTTACTTTGTCATTTAATGTTTTAGATTAGAATGTGAAATAATAGTCTAAATAAACAATATGTGGTGAAACGAGTATGAGAGGTGAAACATTATTCCCATCTGTAACTCCCTATGCTGCCAACAGAAGGAGGAATTGAATTTGTTCTTTTTGTTTGTTGCCAATTAGAAAAATAATACAGACACAAGTGAAATTCAGGTTTTTACAATTGCATGCCTGAGAATCTGCCAAACATATGATGTCATAGTGGCAAAATAAACATTATACAGGACTGAGGCAGGAGCTTTTAGACTAAATGGGTGGAGTTACATGTTTGTGCCAGAGGTTCCTGATATTAGCATGATGGATCTGTGATTGATGAGGAACAATGTTGTAACTTAAAACAGAGAAACAGACTTTGCTTTTCCTTAAAAAAAAAAAAAAAATCCACAAAAGTCATTTTTTCTTGCCTGAGAATCATTGACTTAATTAAAGCCTGCCTGCCTTAATGAGTAATATATAAGCTCCTATAAGATATTGTGCACCAGTGTGAGTATATTGCTGTGCATGTACCTGTATGCTAAAGCAGATCAGAGTGGACTTGTTTTCCTGCTCCTCTCCTCTGCTGCGGTTCACTTGGGTCGATGGAGCAGTGGGCGCCTACGCTGTCCTCCCACACCCCTCCTCACCGCCTCCTCAGTCTGGACCGCTGCCCAGTTTATTTTCTCCATCCCAATCTTGGATTTGTCTGCTCTTTGTAGTTTTCCAATACAGATATCAAAGGGCTGATTGCTCCCTTAGTGGAATACATGCTCGATACAGTCAAATCAAAGAAAGCACAGTGACCCTGAGCAAGAAGGATTTTGAACCACTTGTACCTTTTAGTCCAAAAGCAGGACATGCTGTTTTCTTCCCCCCCCCCCCCCCCCCCCCCTGGAGACCCATATCCCTCTGCCATATTGATCTGAGAGTAGAGTGAAAGCAGTGAAATACAACAGAGCACAAGCCAAGGTCAGGAAAAAGGTATAACATTTTATCTGAACTATCATTTCCCATAATCCAGCAGGAGTTTAAATGGACTCTCGTTGAAAGAGAGCTATGTTTGTGTCAATTTTGACGATTGTGTTGTTTGCAGACTCCAGGCCTCATCACATCCCCCGCTCAGTGGGAGCAGAGGCCTCGGGACCCTTGGCTCCTGTTTCTGGAGACCGTAAATCTGTGCCCATCCACTCCAGCCAGCCGCTGCTGTTCACCTTCGACGTGCCTGCGCGCCCCCTGTCCAACAGCGCCCCCCAGGACTACCTCCTCCTGCACCAGTGCATCAGCAGGAAGACCGAGAGTGCACGGTAACATCACAGGCCCCTGCGTCCTGCCCTGGCTTCCTCTTATCTTTAATGCAGGTCAACATCCACGTTTGGGCCATTTCCTCAGACAAGATCCCACTGGCCCAGTCACAGGGTCTGGAAAATCACACACATTCACACACTCTGTTGATTTTTACTTTATTTCTTTTGGTCGACAAGTAAAAGATAGTTTTCTGGGTTTAAAACTATGTTGCGTTTGATCATAAAACACAATGATGATCAAGTGGTGGCCATCTTTCTGCCTGGGCTAATTTAAATGTTGTTCTTTCACCTTATTATTTATACAGTTTGTCATGCAACTTTCCTTTACATTGAAAACAAGCATGTGACTTCACTCGACTAAGTAACATGTTATATCTGTGGAGGGCGAGTCTTCCCTGGGTAAACGAATGTTCAAGCACTAAGCACAAGCACAGAGTTTACATGTTTTTATACCAAATTTAATGACATTTCAAGCAACGCAAATGCAAAGAAAAACCAGGTGTGACCAACAGGACGGTTTAGGAATCCAATGGTAAAATTGATCATTTAATGTATTGAATATTAAGTACATACAATGAATGAAATAAATGTGGGTATATCATTTTAGTTACTTTCGCCACACGGAAAAATTCTGAATTATGTCATACCAAAAACACCATACATTTTTCATAGCGTGTGTGATATAAAAGTTTTTTTGTTTATCCTATTCATCATAAAGATTAGAGCCTATTCAGACCCAGTACACGGTATGTGCTTAGTGCATGGAGCAGAGAAGATGCACCTGTAAACTCTACTGACACCTCTATTAGGATTCTGCTCAGCTCCTGTAGCCAGTGTCCAGTCCACGGTCCTCGGGCTGCTTCGGTAATGATGCTATTCAGCAGATAACGGCACAGTAGATGATCAATGAGTTTATGCTTGTAATTCATCACCCCTATAGGTTTAGACAGGCCCCCAGTATAGCCGCCCACAGCCACATGATTTGCACATAAATCTGCTGCGGTGTTGGATTTTAGCAGTGTGCAGCCAATGAGAGCCCTCGATCCCGTCAGCTTTATGGAGACATCTGTCACTCCCCAGAAGCCTTTCTTCTTGTTCTGTTCATTAAGCTAATCTGCTAATGTGAGTGCCAGTGCCAGTCATTTTAGAGGGAATTTGATGGATTCTGGTTTGAAGAAATGTATGGGGTTTATTCGCTGTATAAAGATTGCACAAGTTTGACCCATATTTAGAGTTTGATGTCTCTGATCTGTAGATAAAACAAATGTATGCAAGCGTTCCGGAAATGGCTCATTAGATATGTTTTATCGCTCATGTCTTATCTTTAACTGACTATTTTGGATCGTTGCACATCTAAGTGGCTCCAACGGTATAAACTATAGGATGGCTGTGGTTGCTACTCAAGGTCATGTCCTACAAAGGAATCACAATAAATGAGGCATGTCCCGAGGGTGTTCTACTGAGTCTGACAAACTGTGGGAAAGTCACAGGTTTAAAATAAGTGACACTTTCTGACAATATGTGTACAGGCTCCTACAGAATACACAAACTTGATCCTTAGCAGTAAACTCAAATGTTTCACCGGTACAGTTGTCTTGTTTTTTTCCTTTTAGGGGCTCACCCTCATAAAGCCTGTATGAAGGTCCACAGTGCCCCCTTGTGGTTCGTTTTGAAACTAGCGTCACTGTAACTAAAAACGCTATACCACTATACCACACATTACAACCATTTTCACATCCTAATATTATGGAAATTTTTTAGCACTTTACTTAATGCACGGCAATGATATGGTTTTAGTAATAGCATAGCAATCAAAAGTCTATCTCAAACAGAAAGAAAGCTTTGTACAAAAGGCAACTATTGGCCATTATATATAGGCTTCATCAGTCTTCATCATATTGTGGACAGCTGCAATGTAAAATGTGTACAATGCTTTCTTGCGTTTTGAAATTGTCCCTTCTGTCTTTGCTGTATTTTACACAGTATTTTATGTGTATAAGGCATGGACAAGATGACACTATGAATTACATTTGTACTTGATTTGACTTAAATAATGATGACTACGCTGTTTTAAAAACTATTTGTTTGGAATTTCTATTAAATCCCTTCCTGATTATGGCCTCTGTATTTTAGCAGAGGTGTACCACAAATAGTGTTTGACAAGAAGGTCATCAATAATGATCATAGATAAACATTTAGCCTTTCCTTTAAATTAGTTAATCTCTTCTTCTTTTATTCATGTGCATCTGTTCAGGCCACTTTTTCATACTTTATATTCACCAATAAAAAACTATCATAGGTATATTGGAATAAATAAAAAAACAATTATAAAAAAAAAAGAGTTTTGTGTCAAGTTCGGGCACCTAAAGTTTTTTGTTTCATAAAAAAATACATGTGTTTAGTCCCGGGAGAAGGAGGCTTGTAAATGTATAATGTAGCGATGTAATGTGATAAATAGGACCACAACTTGCCATCTTCATCTTGTTTACAAACATACAGTTACTACATACTCTGTGTGTGCTTTGAAAGTTACTCACCCCATCTTAAGATATTTTAATTTCAATCCCTATCCATTGCCTTTAGAAAAGCATTCGTGGTGTTAGTGCCCCCGCTGTCTCCTCTTTGTATTCCAATATACTTTTTTTTTGCAAATGGCAATAAATTAAATCTGATATCCTTTTTCTTTTTTTTTTTGCAGAAGTGCCAGTTTCTCCCAGGGTCTGCGCCACAACAGTAACGTGTTCATGGGCAGCGACTCGGCGGTGCAGAAGCTGTCCCACGGCTTCTCCCACTGTCTGAACGGCATGGGGGGACAACTACACGGATTCTACAGCCTCCCCAAACCGGGCAAACACCACCCGCTCCCCACGCACGACGTCTCCCCCCAAGAGGCCTGCTACGTCCTGCCTCGCGGCTACAGCTCCGAGGCCCCTCTCCACAGTAACTTTTCCGATCTGGAGAACGAAGAGGTGTACACTTTCCAAACCCCGTGTAACACACTGGCTACACTGCACTCTAACGAACGCACTAACGACAACTATGACCTCCCTACCACGCCCGGATCCTTCTACCAGATCCCTCGGACGTTTGACAAGAATCACAACGCCTTAACGCCGTCCAGCTCCGAGTCGTCGTGCGCCCCGCCTCCCAGGCCCCCTAAGCCGAGCCAGGGGTCCGACGGAGGGCACTGGGGGAGTCCGCAGTCTGTTGGAAGCCATAACGGAGATGTGCCGTGTGCCGTGTCGGTCATTCCTCGCAGGAACACTCTGCCGGCGGTGGAGAACATCCGGCTTCATAGAGGTAAGCTACGATAAGATAAGATAAACTTTATTGATCTCACAGTGCAAAAATGTACATGTCATATTTGGTATAGATAGTATCACTCAGGTACAGCTCCTTCTGTACAACGCAAGATTAGATGAGCTTTGTGTGTCCGGCAATATAGGAAGCCCTCAAAAGTATAACATTTATCTTTTTGAATAGGAACAATGCACTTTCATGGTCTCTTCTGTAAAAGTGCCAGTTTTAGCTTCCAACTGTATTCTTTGAGAAAGTTGTGGTGATTCCTTAAAAAAACATTAGTCATAGTTAGTTGTATCTAAGTCAAGACAAAAAGTTATTTGGTACCAGACAATTGTAAGACAGTGATGTTATTTCCTTGGCATGTTGATGGTATACCTCTTCTATACCTTGTCTGATATAGAAAAAATTACTTTACTTCTAAGACAAGATGAACCTTCCTAAACTATGAATCTAAGACTGATTTTCAGTGGATTTTAAAAAAGAGTTATGGAGACACTGAACGTAGAAATACTGTAATAATCCCAAGGGGAATTCATTTTCTCAGCTGTTGAAAGAGCAGCTGAGGACATGCTGCCTCCACAACATGAACTCGCACAGTGTTCGGATATTGTTCCAAATGTTTATGATCATGAACATGAACATTTGGTATAATTTGGGACATTAGGGCTGAAATTACAATTCATTTCCTTGTTTAATAAGTACATTCCTATAATTACTGAAAATCCATGCGAATATGTTGCAACATATGCGTAGTGACAATAATAATCCTATCAATTATTACCAATTATCATAATAATTGATAGGATTTCTTGATTACTATAACAACCTATTGTTTCAGCTCTATTTACATTGTACACATGACTCTTTGTTGTGTCCTTTGACTAATAATGGAAATAGGCAAGACAACTCAAAGTACTTAATAGTGGGTGTATTGTCGATTATAATATTGGGGTCCAATTAAGTATTTCCATAATCCCATGCTGGAAGAAGAGAAAGTGGGAAAAAATAAGAATCAAGCATTGTATACATGTTTTTCAGAGCGGGCTGTAATGGAAACTCATAAAGGAGACATATTATGTAAAATATGTGTATGATATTTAACCTTGTGTTAAAGCTGTTCCCTTGTCCTTTGCTTACCCAAAGTTTACTTTCAGTTGATTCTTTCATGTTTGAGCGATTCTGAATTGTCTTCTATTTGAGGCTTCATTGCTCAGAAGATGTTTCACTGCCAGATGTTACGGAGCCAATTTTCAAGATTAAAAACACGTGAATCAACGATGAAATGTCACTATGTGGAGGAAAGGCTTATTTGTTCAAGAGTTTTGATCAGGAAGACTCGGAAGAGGAACTCGATATCAAAAAGTTTTGGATAAATATTGCTACAATAGTAAAGTTAGTAAAGTAAACCAAGGACCTCATACAGTTTGCTTGAAAGTTAAAAAAACTAAAATTTTAAAACCAGGTTAGAGATTTTGAATGTTAACACAAACACATATTTCCCTCTCTTTGTCAGTGATTGTGTGAAGTAATTTATTTTCAAAAACATTTCTATTTTGAATATTTTGTATTATAATAAAACAGATAATAAGTCTTCATCCCCCAGTTCTCATGCATTGTCTCTGTTTAACATTTATGACAGCCTGGAGTCTTTTCTTGAGGTTCTTTATCCTCTCTGATGGTAAAGCTTCCCATTCTTTTTGGCTTTCTGAAATTTCCTGGGCCGCCTTGCATTACCTGCACATTAGAGATTACCCGCATGAGCTCAAACATGTTATAATTTAAACTTAATTTCTATATATGGCTTCACACAACCACTAACAATGAATGAAACAAAAAGGGTTATCAATCATAGGACCTGTTTATTTATATGCTCCCTAAACGAAGTAGAGATGAGTTGTTCATACTGTTCACCTGTGCCATTGTCTGGTGATTATGCACTTCTCTCCCAGTCCCCTTGTTTTACTGATTTATCGCTCACAGCTGAACTGAAACCAAGATCAAGCAGACCATGTTCAGTTGAGACGCTAATGAGACTCATGCAAACTGCTGCGGCATGCTTCATTCCAGACAGATCAGCAATTTAAAAAACTCTCTCATAGACACAATGCTATTTGTGTGTGGTCGGTCTTTTGCCACACGCTCTTTTCGGCCGGATCTTACACTCACAGACCAGGAGCTGACCTGTGACTCTTGTTAGTGAAGTTGGAAGCTGCTGATTCACCTGTACCGCAGAGACTAATTATAACGCAGTCGGCCATGTAATGAAAAGTCAATCAGTCGCTGTTTGTTTAATTGGAAACATGATTTAACTCCCCGAAATGTCAGATGTCTCGTTTGCGGACGTTATTGCCATCCCAGTGCGGTGTAATGCTCTGTTTGATTTGTTGAGCTGTTTACAGTCTGCTCGTGGCTACACCTGAATGCTGATGATTATTTCCTTCTCTTTCCCCAGGTTCCTCCTTTGAAGCTAACAGCCATTATCGTCACACACATTTCAATAACTCAGGACAGTCTGCAGAGTCTGTCCTACCAACTAGTTCCTACCTGGTGAGTGTGTCTCCCTAATGAGGCCTCAGAAGCCCCAGTAGTAGCAGATGGATGGTGTACAAGCAGGACATGCACAAGATTTGGCAACTGCAGGGAAAAGCTAAAAATATACAACTAGAGCAGTCATTCCAATGTGAACTTTATTTCTATATAATTATGTTCATGAGATGGGTTTTTTTTTTTTTACTTTTGAAATGTGAGTACTTCTACCTTTGACTCATTTTACACCAGAGAATATCACGTGCTAGTTACCATAGCAACACACCTACAAGCCTTCTTTTGTTGCTGTATTTCAGTTATAACACCGTTTTTTCACCTGATTTAGCACTTATTAAAAGTGAGTAAAGATCGTGAGTATAGATCTGGTATAAAAACCTAAACATTCTTTGGCAAACTTCTCAGAATTCCAATGGGAGCAGTCAAAATGATGGCTCTGGGAGTTCCTGTAGTTTCAAAATTCTGGGAGTCTTGGTGTTAAACTGTATTTAATGTTGTGATTGATTAGGTTTTTTTGTCATATGATTATGATGCAGGGGTAAAACAAGTTGATTGATTAATTGTAACTTATCGACCATTGAAATAGTTGATAATATATTCAACTAATGGTTTTTTAAATTTACATAAACTTAAACAAGCTGAGAAGAGGTTTTTTTGACTCCGATAATCCCATAATGACTGCAGAATGAAATGCAAATGTGTTCACAACGTTTTAATCCAACAACGTTTTGCTGGTTCTACAGAGAAACAAAGCTCCCCTGACCCGCTCAGACAGCGGTAACTCTGATGACAACTATGTGCCCATGAATCCTGGCTCGTCTCCTCTCAGCGCCGCCCAGGCCGATAGTCCCAAGAATATTTACATTCCTATGAGCCCTAGGCCCCATCACTTTGATTTCCCAGGATTCTCGGCTACATTACCAGCTCGCAAAAGCAGCAGTGCCTCCATGTGTCAGAGGCCAGGTCGACTCAGTGATGTCACTCCACCACCCATCAACCGCAACCTCAAACCCAACAGAAAATGTAAGTTTTACACTATTTAACACACTCTTCCTCATCTTTTCAGTATTCTCAAGTCTTTCTTGTGTGTTAACAGCAAAGCCGACACCTCTAGATTTGAAGAACAATGGGATCATTGATGAGCTGCCATTTAAGAGTCCAGTCACCATGTCGTGGACTCGGCCCATGTGAGTTCATACCAGTCGTTGGAGATTACTTCAGGCTATTTCCACGCGCATGCTTGGAACAGATTGTCCTGTATTTGTTTGGCCTTTAAATAAGACCGTAAACTGACTGCTGTGTGCTTTGACAGGTCCACTATAAACTCAATGTCCTCGCAGCACTGTCGGCCTATCTCCACTCAGAGTATCACCAGCACGGACTCGGCAGACAGCGAGGAGAATTATGTAGCTATGGTGAGTGGCGGTAGCTGCAGGGGAGACCAGAGCACACTGTGTTCTTTGTTTTAATGATTCACTTGTATGCATGCTAAGCTCGCTGTGAGCTGTGTCTGAAAAGTGCATTATGCCTGCTTTAGCAGAACCCAGCGTCTACCTCCCCCGCCGTGAGTGGTACCAGCAGTCCGGCCCCCAGACAGTGTGGAAATGTGGACTACCTAGCACTGGACTTTCAGCCTGGAACACCGAGCCCTAACAGAAAAGTAAAAACTTTCACTATACTTTATACATCTGTGTGATGACTGTGGTGTGAATTTAGTTATTTTGGTGCTTGGTGTTATTTTATCATTAGTTCTCCTGTGATGATGTTTTTAATTTTACTTCCTGTCCAGTTTCCCTGTGTTGATTGTCTCCCCCACTCACGTGTTTCACCAGTGTCTTTCTGTGTCTATGTACCCTGTGCTCATCCCCATTCGTTGCTGGTCCATTGTCTTTGTCTGTTTGTCTGGTTCCTGTGTTTCATTTGGATTTTTGAGTTAGTGTTTAGCCTGGACTTTTATTTTATCTCCTTCAATAAATCATATTATTTATTATTCATTTGAGCTTGAGATTGACTTCTGTTTACTCCACAGCCCTCTACGTCTTCAGTGACCTCCGATGAGAAAGTGGACTATGTGCAGGTGGACAAAGAGAAGACCCAGGCCCTGCAGAGCACCATGCAAGAATGGACCGATGTGCGCCAGTCTACTGAACCCACCAAAGGAGTCAAGTCCTGACAAAGCCATCCGCAAACTTCCCTCTCTAACTCTAGCTGTGGTTCTACAGGCGTCTATAATCCGGACCTTAGATGGTTTGGTTAATTAATTTATAAAGTAATTTGGAGGAAAAGCCATAACCAAGCTCACCCCTGTTCTCTGAGCAGGTTGCTGCTGCACGTCAATATCAGATCACAGCCAAAAACGTACCCCCAAATACATCGACATTTTCAAAGTGTATACAACAGGCATGTCAAACTCAGGCCCATGAGCCAAATTTGACCCGCAATTTGAATTATTACAGTAACTTTCCGCATTGATGGTAATGGGCTGCTATGGCATGTTCTACTTATTGTCTCAGGAAAAAAAACAAATAATATTATCTGTTCTAAAATTTTAACTAATTAGAAGTTCTTCTTGATATTTGAATCCAAATGGACCGGAAATTAACATCCAAACTCATGTCAAATAAAAAGGTTTTTGTCAAAAATAAAAAATAGAAATAAATAAATAATTATAAAAGAAAATACACTTTTGGCCCCCCACAATAATGAGTTTGACACCCCTTATTTATCCAACAAATAATTCTGTTGAACCAACTGATATTTTTCCCCTTAAATTGTTCAGCTCCTCCATGATCCAATTTGTCAATGGCCATTAGGAAAATGCCATGAGATGCAATGAGATGTCTTTCTGCTGATTCATGTAGAGAAGATCTGTCTTTACCTTGTTTTTTTTCTTCAAATTTGCATGTGTGCAAAAATAAAAACACGCTAGGTATAACGGCACCCACATTTGAGACAATTTTGTAAATACTTACCGAAAATTAAGTTATCAAGAAACAAGAACTAGTTTACTCCATCAGGTTTTATATGGAGTAAGAAAGAAGTGCAATGCCAAGGACACAAAGACAGTAACCTGTATTATGTCTTCCTATCATTCTTTAATTGCCTTATCATTAATACTTATGTTTTACCCTTAAAAACAATCGCAGATAAAACAACGGACACATCACACTGCAGGCCTTTTACAGTATATGTATGTCCACAGGTTGGGAAACGTCCAAACAAAATCCTTCTGACTGTTTTAAAACTACTGTAGCTTCATGTTGCACTTAAGTCGGAAAGGCTTACTGGCCATAATGAAGCAATTGTTATTGTCTGTAAAAAAAAAAGAAACAAACCCATAATTAAGACAAGTTTAAATCAGTGTAGTTTATTCTTATTTCCAAATGGCCTTATATTTTACCTCTGTGTGACAGATTAAATGGTAATGATGCATACTGTGCATAATAAGAACCTGTTTATATTTCTCAACCTCAAGTTTCACTGTGGCTGGAACCACTTCTCTGATCTTGTCCATCGCCATGTATTTTGATTATTTCCGTCGAATTTACTTCTGATTTTCTAGTGTTTTTACCATGTTTTGTATTCTTTTTTTAAATCTTTTTTTTCAAAGATCTTTTTAAGGAAAATTGTGAATATTCAGATGCCTTTTGATTCATTTTCTATTCCAAGGATGTTGTGATGTGTTGAAGAGCACTCTGAGTTGCACTGGTAAAGCTGCCCCTGCTGGTGAACTGTGATATAACAAGAGAAAAGACTGATTGTGGTATAAGTCTCTGAAGTGAAATGAATGTCAAGTGTCTCGAGCCGAAGAAGCAGCAGCGTATGTGTTGTAGATGTGAAGTAGTTGTCTTTGGTCTGTACTGTATAGATCATTTTAACCACTATTATTACTACTGTAAAACATTTGCAGATTGCTTGTGGGTTAATTTAATAATTTATTGTGTGGTTTGTTGTTAATATTGTAAAGAAAAAACAACTAAAAACAGTTGAGGAATTAGTATTTACTAACACTGATGTATGCAAAAGTCATTATTTTGTGAAGCAATATGACGAATGATGCCAGTGTGATGACCATGTGGTACATTTCATTTGGGATGCACAAGAATACATGACTGTCATTCCTGTATTATTATAGAATAAATGTGGTCATACAATAAATCAAGGATCTAAAAGTCCAACTGTTTAATTTTGAGTAATTATTTTGCTTGTTGTTTGTTTAGTTGGTTTCTACATCTATGAAATGTTAAATAACTTTGTAACTCTGTCCTTCCCATGCAAGCAAGAACTATGATCCCGTGTCAGATGTAGGCCTACATACCAAACTTGATAATGTGTGTTTGTGCCATTGTGAGACCACATTAAACTAAAGGATACATCAGTTATAGTTTAGATTTCGAAAGAATAATTGATCAAATACTGACCAATGGTTGGTCAAAGTATGAAAGTTGATATTCGTAAACATATATTTTGCCTAAACTAGTGAAACATTTCTCTCACTTTTCTGTCTGAAAAAGCCAATCTAAACATTCAAAACATACATCAATACGATTTATAGCAGCAAACGGTTCTGAGAGTTAATATTGTTGTTGTTTGAGTTAGGTACCCCAAGTTCAAGACTACTAAGCTATTTGAACTCCCAGAGCAGTCATTTTGGTGGCTCCTATTCAATAAAATAGAATTCTGAAAAAGTCTCAAAAAATTGTTTAAGTTTTTCCCTTGTTTTATTTGAATTAAGGAATTAAATGTTTCTTATATTTAATCAGTGCTAAAACTGGTGAACCAGAACCAGTCTTGGACCAGCACCTTGAGAAAAGTAACTTTAATTGCCATAGAAATTTGGACCAAAAAAGACTACATTTGAAATTAAAATTAGTCAAACATAACTCCTCACGTTAAAGACCAAAAATATACATACTCTTCAAATAGAAAAAGTCATAGTTATGCTGAGCTGAGTAATTACACCTCCAAAACGATTAGCCATGAAGTTCTAGTGTAAAGCCTGTTATGTGCTGCCTGCATTTCACCACCAGAGGGCGCCTTTGCTCTCCGACGTGCGCTCCTGATGCCCGCTGTCAGAGGAGGAATGCTCACACAATGAGCCTCTGTGTACAGTCACTATTGCCTCGGTGCACCACACGGACAAGCGATTGTCAAAGGACTATTTGGACACGGTCAATCGGTTTGGGCGAAGCGTTGGTTCGGAGCTGCGTGAGAATTATTCATAACACCAAAAGTGACTGTTCAGCAGGGGACGCGAAGCAAATACAAACGGCTCGATTACATTTGGATCCTGTAAGTCACAAAGTTTAGTGGATTCGCGTAATGATAATTCAGCGATTTGCTCGTTAATGTTAAAGGCGAACTGTTATGTCGCGTCAATTAAGTGCGTTTACGTGTGCCAGCGTGAAGAGAAGTTGAGCCTGTGCGTGCGATGCTTTTGAATCATCCAGGTCTTTTCCTCTAAAATCCACTTTCTTGTTCAGAGAGGTCTATATCTGCCGGTGTCTGGAGCGCTGCGTTTGACTTATTGTTAGTAAATATTTGCTAATAGTCTTTTTTTTTTTGTCAAAGTGTATATTATATTTCTGCGCTTTGCTGCCACTGTAGATTTGGCACATGGGACCAGCCGCGCGTAATCCCCTCAGTTTGTTCCATGCCCATAGCGCGCGGCATTCTTAGCTCAAGCGGACTATATACTTTGAAGTGCTCTGGTGGTTGGCATGGGAGAGGCGACCCCAGCCCAGTCATCCGCGGGGCCATTCGCATCAACGCTCGGGATGGGACTGGGGTCTGCTGCCAGGGGATCCGCGGTGCCACAGCTCCATAATGCCATAGTGGAGCGTCTTCGCGCACGGATCGAACTGTGCAGGAGACACCATTCAACTTGTGAGAACCGGTACCAGCGCGTCCAGGCGGAGAGCACGGACCGAGAGCACGAAAACACGCTTCACCTGCTCAACATCGTCCATCAAGGCCCCGGGAACCGCAAGAGCAAGGGCAGCCGGGCATCGCACCAACAACCGCCAGACTACAGCAGAGCCACGGGGGAGCACAAGGGGTCCGAGGCTGAGCAGAAGGTGTCCACGCGCATTGCGGTGAGTTGACGTTGGAAAGTTGTAAATGATTTTATCTTATGAGTGATTGTTTGTTATGGAGGTATATACTGTATAATGTCATTTTGCTTATTCTGCTGACTCCTGACACAAATTGAAGGTAGCAAATTGTCATGGTGCTTGCAGGTATTTTTTTTTTTGTAATGCACCAATACTAACACAGATATCGAATATCAATGTCAATCCAGATAAGTTGTTGGATCGGTATTGAATATTGGTGAAGATGATATCCGATATATAATAATAATAATAATAATGCATCGGTTTTATATAGCGCTTTTCTGGATACTCAAAGACGCTTCACATGTGTCATTATTCATTCACTCCATACACGGTGGTGATAAACTACTACTGTAGCCACAGCTGCCCTGGGGCACACTGACAGAAGCGAGGCAACCAGTATGTGCCATCGGCCCTTCCGACCACCACCAACCATTCACACACACACCAGACTCATTCTAGGCAATGGGGGTGAAGTGTCTTGCCTAAGGACACAACGGCAGTTTGGCACTTTACAGCCGCAGCCGCCCCACTGTGGCTGGTGTTCCCAGAGGTTAAGTGTCTTGCCAAGGACACAACGACAGTAGTCAGTGGGAGTCGATGGTGAAAGTCCTGAGCGGGGCTTGAACCCACGAACTTCTGGCTCAAAGGCCAACGCTCTACCAACTGAGCTACTGCCGCCCGATTTATATATATATTATATATATATAACCGATTTGGCTTTTCAAATGACAATGCCAATTTAGACTAGTTTCCTTAAAAAGTTGTTTTGTTGTTACTTGCACCTCTGGATCCTTTTCTGTGTTTTTTTGTTTAAACATTTGATATGAAACAGACAAAAGGTGGAGCCCTGAAATCGCTCAAGAGATGGATGATTACTTACATTAATCATCCATCTCATTAGATTAAGGGAAGCCAGGTCCCTGTATAGAAAGTGTCCTGGATGTAGACATTGGGCACCACAGTGGTTAGCGCTTGTGCTTCACAGTGAGAATGTCCTGGGTTCGATTCCACCTTCAGACCTTTCTATGTGGAGCTTGCATGTTCTCCCCAATATCTGGACAGGATTACTCCATAATTAACTGCAACATAAGCACATATTTTACTGTTTTATCTGCATTATTAATTGACTATCATATCATAATTAGATTTTTTAAAGCATCCATTTCCTATTGTGTGGCCAACAGTTTGATTGTGGTTGATTTTTCCTCCACAAGGGGATCAGGGCTGCGTTAGGGGATTTCCAACTCAGGCCGACACATCACAACTATTTATGCTCTTCTTCAAACTTTAAACCTCCACCGTCCACAACCGGTTTTAACTGAATGGACAATAATGTGCTGTAGAACACATGGTGATAATGCAGCTTTTAGAACCCATTATTACAGAAATATACTAAAATGTGTTTAATTAGGCGGTGCGTCCCCAAAATGCTAAAGGCAGAAAATGAACCTTCACCACAGCTTTTGGAGGCTTTAAACGATGAAATAGCTGATGCTCTTAATGTATCACTCACAGCAATGCTAAGCCATGTCGTAAAACATGAACATGGCAAAATGCTGTTTCAATGGAGAGGGGCAGATGTGGAACAGACCCAAACACTCGTTAAGTAGAGGATTTGTTGAGTGATGTCACACAATAAAACGTTATTCATCTGTCAAAAAATATCTAAGATATCTCATCAAATCTCAATTATTTCGAAGGGAGATGTAGTCCAGCTGTTGCATGGACCATATCTGTGGATGTATAGTATTTACAATCTAGGTCTTTATCTTATACTTGCCACCCCTTTCAGTTGGTAAGTTTAGTTTCAAAATCCTCAAAAAAATATATACAGTATACAGTACATACAGGAAGCAGCTCCTTCATTCAATATGTCAGCTTTCCTTCAGCTCTCTCCTGGAGGAAAAGGTTGGAGACTCTTGACATGCTGTGAACTTTGAAATCCCTAATTGTTGTCCCTTCACATCATTAGATCACTTTCAACCCCAAAACACTTTTTTTACAGTACATTAAGTTGAAATTACCTCTTTTTTGTGGAGTTATGACTGAGTTACTGACTTATCTCTGCATCTCCACCTCTTCAAGGATTTGCACTGTGCCCTGCTTCTACCCCGAGAAACTTCCCTAACCACGCTGCTGGAAGATTAATCACATTGAAAGTCACTAATAGTAAATCACAGTCTTATTGTGTCTACGACAGAGGCTGCAAGTTGTAATCTGAACGCCTTCAAACATTCTGAAATGCACTAGAAGTAGAAGTAGGATTTGTCAGTTCATATTGATGCTTTGGGACCGTAAAAGATAAATGAATTAAAAACACAAAGAGCCAGTATGTGATATGCACTCTTAAAGAACTCTTTCTGCCTTGTGAACAGAACTTGTGCCAGAACCTGCTGAGGTTTAGCTAGAAACGATACAGTCACTGTGTTACGAATGATTATCTATGTGTTTGTCTGCTCTACTTTAAACCAATTTGTGGGGCTATTGTTGTGTTTGTGAATTGTATTGTTTCAAAGAAATAGAGCCAAGACAAGCCCAAAGGAGTGCCTCACTCTCTGATTGGACCATCTCCTTGAACATATGCACATCATGTCTATTGAGATTTTGATTAAGAATAACTAAACTTTAAACCTTTATCTGGGAACACATAAACCATACATAGATTCTCTTTGATATTTTAAAACGTTTCAAAAACATTGAAAAATTATCCATCAATACTTTAACATGTTATAAATCGGCATTTATACTAGTCTTCCAATAGAAGACAGAATGGAAAAAGTTGATAATTGACACATACAGTCTCCTGTTGAATATAATTTGTGTACAGAGACTATGATAAATATGGCATAAAGATTTATATCCGGAGCATGTTTTTTTTTAATGATCACAGCAATATTTAATTTGAAATCGAGTGGAAGATTACCGTCTGCTCTTATAAAATAGGCCATGTCTGTGCTGTGGATTTATTAGTGATGCTGAATGGAAAAATAAACAGTGTCATATGTTTTCTAGGGTTAGCCATAAAAGGCCTGATGATTCGTCTGCTTGTTTCTTGTCATCAGATGAATTAGCAGTTGACCTCCACCACATGACACACACAATGAAAGCGCAGGATGTACCAGTGTAGCTAGACGACCACACACTTCATTCAGGTGCAATCTGAGAACGCCCAAATTATTGAAACTAGAACAGAGCCGCCTTTTTGACGTCTACGATTCATATCAATGGAATTCTGAAAAGTTAGCGAGTTTACCATCAGTTTTATACAAATGTACCTTTTCTCACTTTTAATAAGTGTGAAAACTGGTAAATACAATTTTTAATATAGAAAAAAAGCTGGTTGTCGAATGGCTAACTGAGGCTAACTGGTAGGAAGCTAACAGCATGTTGCTACGGTTACTAGCGCTTGCTCTTCATTACTTTTCTACTCCATTTAAAAATGATCGGCACTAGATCATATACGGAATCGGGACGGAAGCGGAAGTAAAAATCCTAAGTTTGAATTAGTTTTAGATTAATAAGTCCTTAAATGGTGACTGGTTAAGTTTTAGCTGTCTTAGTAATATGGTTAAGGTTAGGGTTAAGGGTGGGTTGGGGTTATTCTATGGGATTGGCTGGTTAAGTTTAGGCATGAATAGGTAGTTGGTTATTCTGCTTCTGTCCCGATTCTGTATATGATCTAGTGCTGACCATTTCAAAATTACAATATAATTTCATAAAATCAACGACATGGAAACAACCTACACAAAGAAACAGAAAAGTTATGAAGATCAAAAATGTACATGAGCCGAGTAAATACACTTCCAAAACTGAAAAAATAATGGATCAACAAATGTATCAATTTTTATGACATAAAAAAAGTTCCCCCATTACAATATGTTTGGCTGGATTGAAAAAAAATCTTTTAGTTCATTGTTTATTTGTGATAGAACTCCAGGTGGTCTTTATTCAAACAGAGCGTTAGACAAGGCAGGATGACGTTGAATTCGTCATCAATCAATTGTTACAACTAGTTTCTATGACTACATCACTTTCGCTATATTTTGGTAAGGAAAATGTAAAAAATAATATTAAATATCCCTTTTTTTGATCAGAACATCCATAGTCAGTCAATCCAAAATAATAATCACCTGACTGTCACTGTCACCTGAATTGTTTCCTAATACAGCAGATACAAAATTCCTTAATTGTTCCTGTTATTCTTCAACTACATCAATGTTAAAAGTCTAAATATATAAACTAATAGATAAATGGTATATCTTTAGGCGACTGGCTTTTCTCAACCAATATCCTCTAAAACCATCTCTCGTCGTAAAGCTCAGCCCCTTTGTTTTTGACTAAGTCACAAAGTCCATGTATAGCCATATGCACAATGTAGCTAGGGTGTGAATTAGTTAGCCATGTTTATTTCGAGCAAATAAGTGTACAATAAACAAAAGTAGGATATCAAAAAAATTAAAATAAAGAATAACCTTGAGTGACATTAACATAATTCGAAATTATAAATATTATATACACAAAAGAAACACTTGTAGATACTCAAAAAGGAGTGGGAAGAAGAAAACTTATTTAATCCCACCCCTAGTGCCATGAATCAATATGAACATGTTATACCCAATATTGGAATACTGGAATGTCAAAACCGTTTTACCATCCACAGTGACAGCCCCTGGACAAGTCTGTTGAACTAAAGTGGCTCTAAAAGATGACGAACGCAGCAATACATCACTGTTAGTATAATTTAAAACAAAAGGAAAAAAAGCTTTGAAAAATGTGCCATAATGTCAAACCGGGACCAGTCGAAGTCAGATTAGGTTTAAAACAGTTGAGTCATAAATCAGGTCTTAAAATACACAAAGGTTATCTTATATTGTGAATTATAGATGTAACACAACACTCCTAAGGCTTAAACGTGAGCTGATGAGTCCAGATATGTTGAACGTTGAACAAATGATGCGGATCCGCTCCTTTTGGCTACT